TTTTTTTTTTCAGCAGGGCTACCTCTCCCTCATAGAACGAAGCACAAGGTGCGTGAGCCAGTTTAATCCTTCCCTGGGAATTCTGAATGTATACACTTTCTGCATCATTTTTCTTACATTTCTTTAATTACAGGGTAAGATGTATGTATATAATGAATCGCTTTGTCTTCATGTGTTTTGAAAAGTAACAGTATGCCTGACTCACTCCTACATGCACACTCTTTTTACAGAGCCATTTAAACAGGTTGTCCATAACTTTATTCAGTCATTTACAAGTTAATTAAATGCACAGATTCAATTGGCCAGCCTCTTTCCTATGAACACTGCATTTACTGCATGTTGTGATCAGTTCTGTTCTTCAGACTGAAGGAGTTTTTGTAATGAGAAGCAATAATGTAAAGTAATAATGAGACTAAACTAAAAATCTCTACTAAAGACTCACGACTTGAGTCAGACTCATATGCCAGAGACTTTAAACTCAAGATTCGATTGAATTGACTTGTGAACGTCTCATCATGAGTACAAAGTGGGCTGGTATCCTGAGGCTCCTCTCTGTCCATCTCACTCAGAGACACTCTGCCTTCTTGATATGTTCAGGTATGCAGCACACATACTGTATGTTAACATACGACATTGCTTTGATAAAGATGTGAGAGTTTATGAGAGTAAGTAACAGATTATGCTTAAAAAAAATAAACCTGATAATTGTTTTTTTTTTTTCTTTGGAGCACTCATAATGCTAGCCATGTCAGCGTGCATGAGCTCTATTTCAGCAGTTGCTCAGTGTAGGAAGAATGGAGAATTAGGAACAAGTGAAAGGAAAAGGGGCATAACAGATATAGATGGGTAAAAAGGAGCAATAATTTGGTAAAAAAAAAGAGAAATAGTTGGTGTGATACATTTGGTGGTAAAAGGATCTTTGAGGAAAAAAAGTGAAAAACGGATTTGAAAGTGCCAGTCAGCAGTGATCAACATATGTCTGACATAAAAAAGTTGGAAATTGTGTGAGATGCAAAGAAAAACCCACAAGCAACTTGACTTCTCTGTAGTGTGGCAGTTTCAGAATGTGCAATAAAGAGATACCTCAACAGAAATGGGCTGCATAGTAGAGTTACCAGAAAAACCACTTGTAGCCTGAAAGCTGCACTCTTGAACTTTTTACACAAGCCCACCCTTCAGTAGCTGCATGAAGGTTCTGTAGTGGTACTGATCCTTCTAACAATAATATACTGTAAAAATCTTTTTTTTTTCAGCTTGTGATTTTTGGCATCATCTGATAATAGTTCCTAAAACATTCAAGATATCTGCACATATGCGTAAAGTGGAATTCCACCAGTTTTTATAATTTTCTGCATAATTCAGTCATTGCAGTGTAAAAAAAAAACCATTTGGTGTGTTTTAATGTGAAGTGGTTAATTGTAGAAAAATGTGCTGACTCAGGTATCTTTACAGGGGTGGTGATGGGAATCAGGGGTCACAGTAGCCTATTTTACTGGCTATCCAAAATGTCCAGGGAAACTATGTGTTTTCTGAGTTTGCATATGTTGATAATGGTGAAATAGTAATAGTAATAATAATAGTATATAGTACTATTTTTTTCAATAGTAAGTCTGAAAAAAAAAAAACAGGCTTCTAATAATACGTTTTAGAACAAATAATATCTTAAAACTATCATAAAACAATGTCTCGGGCATTTTGTGATGCATTTCTGTGAGAAACTTCTCATTAAACTCTTCAGACATCTGGTTCCTCTGAACTGACTTGGTAAGTTTCTCTAGAATGGAACATTTCCTATCAAACCACTCTGAATGACCATTCTTCCAGAATCTGGAATTAGCACACAATACGTATCACACAGTTGTAAATACCTGATATCATTCTTTGAATGATTTGTTTTTGCTGCATGATATTAATATTAAATCATAAATATTAATCAGTCTCATTAATTAATCAGTCTCACATTATCAAATCATAGATAGCACAATCTATCATTTCTAACTAAAGAAAATGTCATTAATTTCTGAGGATTTAAATAAATGTGCATTATTTTATATAGATATCAGCAACAACCAGCATTTGAATGAAATCAAGACAGACAACTTGAGAAAACGAATGAAATGGAAAACAATCATCAGTATGTTTACAGTGAAAGATACTTATCAGTTTTATACTTAATATTCTGCTAGTGGAACTATTATAATGTATCGTTATATTTGAAACTTTGCGAACAAAATTAACACCACATATTATGTTGAGATATTACAATAGAATGTAAGTGAGGGGAGAGATCACATGCAAAGAGATTTAATCCGCTGCATGTACAAATCAGATTCAGTTCAGATTATCTAATCAAAACTGGTTAAACCAAAAGCATAAATAAACACAAAATTAATTAAACTTTACCGACTTGGTGTGGTCTTTAACTATGCTATGCCCAGATGTTAAGAGTTCAGCTTCACTTTGATCGATATTTTTATCTAAAGTGTGTCGTCCTCACAGAACTCCTGTGTGGAATGTGGAGGGGATTTTCAATGTTTTCTTGTTGAAGGATTAATGTCAGTGTCATCCAGGTTCCTGTAAATACTTGGAATCCTCTAGAAGTTGATCCAGGAAAACAGTCTAGTCTGCATTTTTGAAGGACTTGATCACTTCACAAGACCACTAACTGCCTTTCGCAAGCGTAAAAAGAGTATTTTTCAACGATGATCAGCCCTCAGGCTACAGTTACAGTTTCAACTGACTTGAAATAGACCGAGCCACACTATTACTGCACTATTCATGCTTGTACAGTCTATTACTGCACTATTCATGCTTGTACAGTCTATTACTGCACTATTTATACTTGTACAGTCTATTACTGCACTACTGCATTTCTCAGCACAATGAGAGTGAAGTTGAATCTAATCTAATCTAATCTAATCTAATCTAATGTAGTGCAGACAATAGAGAAGGGGCAAACAGAGGAGATCTCTCTTTAACACCTTTTTTATTACCTGGAGGCACTGAAGACACCCCTTTTTCTTGCTTTAAGCAATCCTGGCAGCATTTCTGACACCTACTAGTAGGCATGGTACCTACATAGCATATGATTAAACAAGTGGAATCAGGTGTACTTCTGCTTGATTGGAATGAAAACCTGCCCTATACTGCCCTATCATAGTACTGAATTACTTTAAAGGGGAATTCCACCAAATTAGCAAAATTTCAACATAATTCAATCAATGAGATTAAATTGAGTAAATTATTGAGTAAATAGTGTAAATAAAATAAAGCTATTTCACTCCATATCCAGTGAACTTTCATGTGTCTTCTGAGCTTTTAAATAACAGTGGAAAAATGGAAAGATTTCCTTGGGTACTATTTTGCCTTGCAACTCCCTGCATGTACCTCTCCACCATGAATGGATTTTAAAAAATTCATTTTATACCAAAACTATCGTAAAACACTGTCTCAGACATCAGGCAGCACATTCTTAACCATATTATGTAATGAGGTGAAGGAGCTTTGAGAGGCATTAAACTTCAGACATCAGGGCCACCTTCAGTCTCAAAAGGCTGTGCAGTGTTTTGCTAAAGTTCCCAGGTTGAACGACGTGTTTCGCCGAAACTGTGCAAAACGGGCTTTGAGGTATGTTTTCTCTCATTTGTTGAGTGTGTCAGAGATGTTACCCAATCAGCAGCGACATGTATATAAAAACCCCAGCTGTATTAATAATGCAACGCACACAATGGACTCTAATAAAGTGCATAATATAAAATATATAATAAATGTAACAACTACAAATGCAGCCACTTTAGCTCGGTGTACGCCACAAACGAAGATGTTAGAAGACGTTTGTCCTAAGTATTTTACTGTAAAGTGCTTTTAGTCAGACTCCAAAAATTCTTTGGAATAGTCACCATAATGGCCTTCTCAGCTTCCATAATTGCAACGCACCACTGTTGCCTTTTAAATAAACATTTTGCTGTGTTTTGTTGGGGCTGAATGGAGCCCTGGTTCCTGACACCACCACTGTGTGCAAATCAGGCTTGCTAGTTTCTCTATAATGGTGAATTTCACACCAAACCAATCTGAAAGACTACCCAGTACAGCTTCTAGACTGCTCTGCTTCTAAACTGGCTTTCCTTAAACACAGAGTTTGATGACATAATATATTTCAATAACTTTAATATGCGTTCAAAAATATACTTTAATAAAATGTTACAACTTAATACAAGGTGTTTAAGCAACACACACTCAAAGAAAAGTACACAAAAAAAATATTCTATGTAGTTTGCAATGTATTGTGATGTAAATCAGGTAAGATTGTGCAGTGCAATTAGCTTTAACAGCTAATGTAATTTCCATTTCTGTTTCTGTTTCTTTCCACATGTTTGATAATAGATGACTACTGTTAAAAACCTTGATGACTATAATTTATGAAAATGCACTTTAAATCTCTTTGCCAAAATGATAAATGGCAATGGGGTCAAATTATGCTATCAAATCAGTGATTGGCATAAATTACTGGAGCACTTTAGTGTCCCCTAATGTCAGTGTGAATTCACAGATCCATCCAGCCGTTTCAGAGCAGCGTATGTCATTCCATCTCTTCAGTGTGTAAGCAGGGGTAGTGAAAACAGCACAGTCCTCATTTCCATAAGTATCTTTTGGTTCACCATCCTTCCAGAACCTTATTAAATTAGTAGATAGAATATATTGGAGAAGTTAATTTACACATCTTTGATTGTTTGTTTATCTCTTTATTTATCATTTATTTGTCATGTTTCAAAAAGCAAAACTTTAGTGGTACACAATAAAATCCTTTGATTTGTTTTCAATCTCTTAATTGACTCTGCTTTTCTTTGTGGATATGTCTTTGTTTCACTGAGCAGGGCCTGTTATATTCTAATAAAACTCTGACTTTGTATACATTCTTCAAATATGTGGCCAGATCTGAGGACACAGCAGTTTGTTTTCACTCACGCAGTGGTCAGTGCTGATCCATCCACCCACTTCCAGTCTCCTTCTCTTTCTTCATCACTCAGACCAATCCAGACATATTTGTTTTTCATTCTTAATGAACTCCTAGAGGAGAACAGAGTGTGATTAGAATAAGGAGATTTTTATCAGAGTTCATTTCTTCTCTCTCTCTCCTCACCTGTTCCTCTCTGCTGTTTATGATCACCAGATCTGCTCCTCTCTCTCTGCAGTCCCGCCTGGCCTCACTCCAGCTCTTGCGGTCAGTAGAGAAGTAGTAATAGCTACTCCCAAATTTCTTCAAATCTTCTAAACGTAGCTTGTCTAAAACATAATTAAATTGGTGTTCAGCAGGAGAACACAGCAGTTTTACACACAGCCCGCTAGTTTGGCACATCTGCTTTCTGTTCTAATAATTGATAAATGGTGCACTGAATTATATTTTCATCAAGTCTTCATCATATTTAGTAGTGTGGATCAGTGGTGTGTGCAGAAATACATTTTTGGGTAGGTCTGTGAAAAAGTGGGTACTTGGTAGATACAATTTCCAAACACGCTGGTGTCCCTCAGTGTCATGACATCATAACCCAATTGCATATTATAAACCCAACCAACACTGCAACACCCTCCACTTAGAGGGGACCATCAGGGCCCTCTACACCCTCAGAGAGGGTCTTAGATATTCTAAAAATTGGTGGTCCAGCTATACATTTACAAAGGGCCAAGCAATACTTACTCAATGAGAGACCAATTTCAAATGACAGTAAAACTGACCAATCATATCTTCCCTCTACAGGGGTGGGCTTTGTTATCACTAACTTTATGACAAGTTCCGCCTGCTGTGGGGACATGCAGACTCTGGGGACAAAGCTACCAAAATAAGCTATCTAGCTTGTTGGTTCGTGATGGAAGCATAACGTTACCGCTAGTGAGAAGAACATCGCTGCAAATGTATGGATGGTTACAAAGATGGATTTAGTGATTTAGGAAGTTTATCCAAGTCAGCCATCACCATCAGAATGCTTGAGAATCAATTGTCGATTAATTTAAAAGCAAAGGATCAGTTGCATGATCCCGCCATTAACTTCTTCATCCGAAAGGGCAGGAGGATAGGGCTTTGTTACGTTATGACTTCGTTCTCAAGTAATGCTCTAATCAGAGGGTAGGTTATTTAAAACCTTACAGGCTGCAGTGTTTGCTGATTTTATTCTGGCCGTCATTCTGCCATTATGCGGATTAGTGGTCATTTTTCTTGTGCTGATGTGTCTGACTCTCATGGCTGCTCGGCTGTGTGTGCGCTGTCGTGATGTGCAGGCTTGTGCGAAATGCTGTTAGTTGTATGTGGTAGGAGGCTGTGACTGTCATGCTTTTTCTGAAGAGCACACAGAGCTTGTATGATGATGCGATCATTTGTAAGGAGTATTTGCATTTTGCCCAAGAAATTAGCTGTTTTGTTTAGGTGATAACCCTCTTTGTGCTATTTGCTCGTTGCATTTCTAGGGTCTCAAGTATCGTCTTAATTTTTGTTTCTTTTGCAGTACTTTAGGAGGGAACACAGTAAACTAGGCTGTTTTTTTTGTCTGCTGACCACAGGCGCAACTTAACAGTGAAGGCAACATAACAGAGTTAAAATCAGACAGCGGAGATGTTGAGACAAACACAGCAAACTTAAAAAGCTAAACCTAACCATCATAGGCCAAAGAATACTGCTACGGTGGGCATTAAAATGTTTAAGGGCCATTTTAGCTTACCTTTAATGGCTTGATGCATTGAAGCAGATGTTTGCTTTGACACTGTGAAACAGCCCATTTTAGCTTTTGTTGTAAAAGTAAAAGCACTGTAAGAACCAAATTCCCAGAAATCTGACAGTGACAACAATTTTTAGATTTATGGCTTTGGATATGGGTCGATAACAACATACTTTATTTTATCTGGAGCTGAGAAAATAAGACAGAGCGTGATGGAAATAATGTGCATAATGACGTAACTGGCCATAATACAACAACAGTACCCACAAAAAACAAGTCAAACTTTGTTGTCTTTAAAATGAAGCTTATGTTTTTTATTATATTCTTCGGCTACAGCCCCCGATGTAGATTATTCCTACATGATGAAGTTATCACATTTCTTCAGTAAATGTTTTTTTCTTCTTCCATTTAAGTATTTGTAACTGTGAGTAAACTCATTTCTCTCACCTAACCATCTGTTTTTCTGGTCTCTCTCCTCAGTCAGATTCTGGTAGCTGCTCTTTAGCTGGTCTCTTTCTTCAGTCAGGTTTCTGATACTGGATAAGAGGGTCTCTCTCCCTGCAGTGAAGTTGACTTTCAAAGAGGAGATAGTTTGGGCCAGACCATCTTTCTCCTCTTTCACATTAATATCTGCATTAAGAAAATACCATAATTTTTGTGACTGAGCCCTTACAGAAGACCTTATGTGTGTAGCATTTGAAAGAGGAAACATCTGAGGTTGTGTGAAATACTCACAGTACATGTACAGGCACTATGTTGGTGGTCAGCAGGAGAACACACAGCAGCCCCACACACACCACAGCCAGTCTGGAACATCTGCTTCCTGTTCTAACACCTGATAAAGAGTGAACACACTTAGTGTGGACTTCTTAAAAATAAGTTTTCTTTCTAGATTATATGCTCAGAACTTACTCTACCTTTGTGCGATGCTTTCGGTTTTGTGTTGGTATCCTGAGCTCTAACAGCATCTACACTCACATAAATATCCACCATCTTCTCCACTCTCTCTCTTCTGTCCATCTCACTCAGCTCAAAGCTGCCCACATCATCATAGATTCCCTCTGCCATTGTTTCTCTGACTGACTCTACTTGTAGCACTTAAAAGTGCTTATTAATGTGTCAACAGGAAATAAGCACACCGGAAGACATTGACCTTGTGACTTTGGTGTGACTGTCATGTCAAAACTACTTTTCTACACTGTTTGAGTGCAGCCGCTGTCGTTTTCATTGTGTGCTCAATTTGTCCCATTACATACATATACATATGTGTTCTTACCACGTAGAAGAGCACACTGATATTAAATGTATGTGTGTGTGAGACTGAGGTAGTCTGAAACCACCCATGGTGTCTTAAAGAAGTGCTATCATACACAAGTAGATGTGTGTCACTGGTTTCCTTTTGCTCTTGTGTCTGTCACTCAGGAAATGTGATCAGACTTAACTGATACCTCATACACACTCAAAGTGTTGAGTTCATGACCTTCATTATAATCACACATCATATGGACAAAAGTATTGGGACACCTACTTGTTACATCTACAGGATCTTTTATGACATTCCACTCTAAATCCATAGGCATGAATATGGAGTTGGTCTCCCCTTTGCAGCTATAACAGCTTCCACTCTTCAGGGAAGTTTTCTCTAAGATTTTGAAGTGAGTCTGTGGGACTTTTGTCCGTTCATCCAGAAGAGCATTTATGAGGTCAGACACTGATGTTGGACGAGAGGGCCTGGCTCTCAATCTCCATTCTAGTTCATCCCAAAGGTGTTCGATGGGGTTGAGGTCAAGGCTCTGTGAGGGCCAGTCAAGTTCGTCCACACCAAACCCACCCAGCCATGCCTTTATGGACCTTGCTTTGAAACACTTAATTCTTCATTCAGTCAACATCGGAGACATATGAAATAGCATGCAAAGAGTTTACAGCCACTGAAGTTGCTATAACTGTCTTGGAAAGTAGCGGCGAAGCATTCTGATATATATATATACACCGATCAGGCATAACATTATGACCACCTCCTTGTTTCTAAGCTCATTGTCCATTTTATCAGTTCCACTTACTACACAGGTGCACTTTGTAGTTCTACAATTACAGACTGTAGTGCATCTGTTTCTCTGCATACTTTGTTAGCCCCCTTTTACACTGTTCTTCAGTGGTCAGGACCCCCATGTACCCTCACAGAGCAGGTACTATTTGGGTGGTGGATCATTCTCAGCACTGCAGTAACATTGATGTGGTGGTGGTGTGTTAGTGTGTGTTGTGCTGGTCTGAGTGGATCAGACACAGCAGTGCTGCTGCAGTTTTTAAACACCTCAGTGTCACTGCTGGACTGAGAATAGCCCACCCACCAAAATTATCCAGGCAACAGTGTCCGGTGGGCAGCGTCCTGTGACCACTGTTGAAGGACAAGAGGATGACCAACACAAACTGTGCAGCAGCAGATGAGCTGTCGTCTCTGACTTTACATCTACAAGGTGGACCGACAAGGTAGGAGTGTCTAATAGAGTGGACAATGAGTGGACAGTGTTTAAAAACTCCAGCAGTGCTGATCCGTCCACCCCCTTCCAAACTCCTTCTCTTTCTTCATCACTCAGCCCAATCCAGACAGATTTGTTTTCCTTCTTAATGAACTCCTAGAGGCCTTCCGCCCGATGACAGCTGGGGTAGGCTCCAGCACCCCTGCCGCGACCCAGAAGGATAAGCGGTTTAGATGATGATGATGATGTGTGTGTGTGTGTGTGTGTGTGTGTGTGTGTGTGCGTGTGCGTGTGCGTGTGTGCGTACTCCTAGAGGAGACCAGAGTGTGATTAGAATAAGGAGACCTCTATCAGAGTTCAGTTCTTCTCTCTCTCTCTTCTCACCTGTTCCTCTCTGCTGTTTATGATCAGCAGATCTGCTCCTCTCTCTCTGCAGGCCTGCCTGGCTGCACTATAGCTCTTTGAATAAGTAGAGAACCAGTAATAGCTGCTTCCAAAATTCCGCCAACCTTTTGAATAGAGCTTCTCTAATACAATTCTGTAGTACATATTCATATTTTAATAGTAATAAATATGAGCTATTTTTACGTTAGCAGATCTAAAAGAGCTGAATCAGATCGATACATCCACTTACTATGAATGCTTACTATGGGTTTATACATGACCTGATGAGAGAGTGTTTAATTGAATGTGTGGCCACATTTTCTGGCCTATCAAAAAGGCTTCTGAACGTGCGGTCGACCATCATTGTAAACTGTAAACTTCTTTTTTTGTTTTTTTTTTTACTTTTTATCTCATAACATTGAACATACAATAACGCAGCACTGTTTAATGCAAAAACTTTCATTTTATAAGTACTTTTTAGTCATCAAATTACTACTGCAAGTTTTATTTAGCACCAGTCCAGTGGTGCCCTCTTCTCACGCTGGGGCTGAATCTCAAATGACTCCCTGATCCCTACAAAGTGCACTATGTAGAAATTTAAATACTGGCTCCTGTACCCCAACGGTGCAAAATATAGCTAAGACATAGGTATTTGGTACTCAGACACATCCATACTCAATAAAAGAGGCACTATTTGGCTGTAGAAGCCAGAATTTGTAAACTTTCATAGCTAGCGCACACCTATGAACTAAACAATTTTATGAGAACATAAAATCTGTTAACAGCTTTTGAAACACAGCAATATATCCACATATGATGCTCACTGTATAAACCAGAAAATCCTCAATGCTGAGCAAAATTAAACTCTTTCTGCCACGTCTGTAGCTTACGGTCAGTTAACACGTGCAGAATTTCACTTGTGAAAACAGAAAAATCTGCCACATGTTTAATTAAAGGTTATTCGTGGGTCATCTACAAAGACACAGTAATCATCACAAGTGGACAGATTGCTCTGTTACACCTCATGTTCTATTTCAGATAAAGCCTTTTGCACCCAGTGTGCTGTTGGCCCCATCCTGATGGAATGACTGACAGGTCAAAGCCTGTCAAATGAAAATCGCATTGAATGTATTTTCAAAATCATTATGCCACAGAATGAGCACAGCAGGTGAGAACATGTGATTTCAAAGAGAGGAGGCCTGTCTCTCTATTTGCATTTGAATTCTGTCTTCTTTCTAGTTTGGTGTTCTCTTTTATAACACAACTTCAAATGCATTTCATTTTTGACACCATCGCATAATCACATAAAGCATAGCCATGCAGTTCTAATTTAAATAAGGCAACATATAAAGCGCCTACATCCCTGTGTAAAAGCAATATTAGTGTACCAAGTCGCAAATGAAAACGATATGACTCACTTTGAGTGTTCGTGTTGAGGCTAAAATTGCGTATATATGTGGGAAATTTGAGTTTGTGGCTGATGTATTCACAGTGCCTGTAGAGCACTATGTTGGTGGTCAGAAGGGAAACATACATCAGTCCAGCACTCACTGCAGTCAGTCTGAAGCTTCCGCTTCCTGATATAACAACTGACAAAGAGTGAACTGACTTGAAAAACTGAACCCAAAAATACAGTCATTGTGATTAAGTGTATGTGCTCTACAATGACAATAACATTTCACTGTATATACAGTGAGAGTTTACCTCTCTGTTGCGCCATCGTCTCCTTGTTGGTGTCCTGCACCTTTGTGTTGGTATCTTGAGCTCTGATAACTTCTTTACTGACATAAATGATCACTGTCATCTCCTTCCTGTCCATCTCACTCAGTACAAAGCTGCTCTCATTTTCAAAGATTTCCTCTGCCATCCTCTCTGACTGACTTTACTCTCAGCGTTCAGTACCTACACTAAGCCTTCTCTTACAAGAACAGCTGACAGCCGAAGACTGAAACTGCAATGAGACTGTGTCTGTGAACAGGAAGCACAAAGCAACACACTGGGCTTACTGCTACGTATGTGGCTTCAGTGTGACACCATGATAAAGAATACATGATGTAACTATGCTTTGTGGGTTTATAAGACACAACAGAAATCTCTGTTAAACTAAAACAAAATCCTTACAAATAAAAAATCTAATAAGATTAGATTTCCTTCACCATCCTCTCTCTGCTTTACTACACTTCAACTTCCCTACACAAACTGTAACACTCATGACCTTGTAACCTTGTAACACCACTGGCTGGACTGGAAAATTCTCTCAGACAAACTTCTAACCACTCTGTTAATTATGATTAGATACTGATGGTTAAATTTGTACGGAGAGAGGATAACAGACCCCCTTCTCTTTCACACTTACTTTACACTTACTGTGCATGCTGTATGTGTTGAAGTAGTGGCCTGCACAGACTCAGGCAGGGGCTGAGGTGTCTCACAAGGGCATTTGGAGGGGTACATCTGAGTAAGGGTACATCAAGATTTTTTATGTAAATTCCATTATAAATAAAGTTACTGTAATATTCTGTTTTTTGTAACCAGATCTGATTATAATTATACAAACGTAATGTATATTACAGTCCGTGTTTGTTGCAAGAACCAAGAACAGACCTAATCCTAACAAATGCTATATTAAAGTCACTGTGTAATGTTTAAACACATTATTCAACAAATATTAATAGTTACTTCATCATTGAAACCTATAATAATAATAATAATAATAATAATAATAATAATAATAATTATTATTATTATTATTATTATTATTATTATTATTATTATTATTATTATTATTATTATTATTATTATTATATACAAACAGAAAACTAGGTCAATGGAGCCAGACTTTTTTCCAAGTAATTTTGGGTCGTTTCTTTTAGTCCATTCATCATGAAATTTACAAACAATGAAAAGGGTAACAGGTATTTTCAAATTATGTCTCATATATATATATATATATATATATATATATATATATATATATATATATATATATATATATATATATATATATATATACACTGCAGTGCTAAGAGTGAATGATCCAGCACCCAAATGATACCTGCTCTGTGGTGGTCCTGTGGGGGTTCTGACCATTGAACAACAGGGTGAAAGTGGGCTAACAAAGTTTGTAGAGAAACAGATACAGTCTGTACACTACAGTCTGTAATTGTAGAACTACAACGTGCTCCTATATGGTAAGTGGAGCTGATAAAACAGACAATGAGTGTAGAAACAAAGAGGCAATTTTAATATTATGGCTAATCTGTGTATACATCTCGATACGCCATGTTGTTGCCAAGATACCAACAGCTCACTGCTAGCTGTTAGCATTACATAGTAGCGTCTTTTACCCAGAAAAAGTCTTTTAAGAAGGTTAGCATGCTGATCTTTTTATAACCAGAATAAATAGTATTGTATTTGTACACAAACTTCTCTTCCACTGTGCCAGTGCTGGTGTTTTCTGTCATTTCTTTCCTAAAAGCACTGGCACTAACAAAGAGGATTATGGGATATGTAAGGCAGCAATGGATTTATCTATGCCGCCTTCCAAAAAGAAAAAAAAACAGCCAAACAGAGGAACCTAGCAGGCAGTGTTTCATACAGACATTCAACTACGACAGGACTGAGTGACTTCCTGCCTTTGAATACTGTATGAATAGGAAGCATTTGTTAGATTTCACACACAGCCACAGACTGTATAACACTTATTTAAAGAAAAAACACAAAAAAATCACCACAGCAACAATAAACAGCACTGAATGATTACCCACATGTATATAACTAAATGTATTCGACTAAAATGTCAGATAGAAACTTCTAAGCCCACAAGTTATATATGGCCACTCAAATCAGTTTCGTTCTATATTTAAGCCAATTTATAAAAATTACAGCCCCCTAACAATGTCTTTTAAATCCATAATGCTAGCTGGAGATGCCATCTCAGCTGCCACTGTGCTGGTTGAATCCTTGTGTTCACATTCCTTCCTGCGATGTCAGACTGTTTTTAGAAATTTAGAAATCCTTGGTTCTGCATTAAATTACTCTTTTCTGTATTAGTTTTATTGTTTTGTGCACTGCTGATATTTTAGCATTTGCACAATTTAAACTAGACAAGCAATGTGCTCACTGCTTCCACTAATTTACAGCAGCATAATATCTGGATGCTGATGGAACAGACATGGCTATTTTTTCAGGTGTTTGGGGTCATTATCTTGCAGAAAGGTCCACCCACAGCCTGATTTCCGAAGTATTAGTAGAATTCATTATGCCATTGATTTTCAAATGAGCCCCTGAATCACCAGTAAAACAGCTACACAGCAAATATGATCCACCACTACATTTGACAGTGGCTACTTTTTCAGGAGCTGTCCATTGTATGCAGTTCCTTTTTCTTACCAAATGTGATGATGGTGTGCACGACAAAGTTTTATTTTTCTCTCATCAGACACATCACACGATCCCACCTGTAGATTCAGTTACATTTTGCAGTGTTCAGGTCCTGCATTTTATGGCTTGCTCTTAGGAAAGGCTTCTTTTGCGGGACTCTTCTAAACAGCTTCTGGTCACAGAGGTGGCATCTGACAGTGGATTTTGACATATGAAAACCCTAAGATTTAAAGAAACTGTGCAGTTCTAAGGTATGATCTTTATGTTCCTTTTTGCCTCCTTACTGTCTGTGTGGGCAGTATGCTCATGCGTCCTCTTTATGGCAAATTTTCAACTGTTCCCTGATTGATCTTAATGGTAGATACACAGACAACCTTCTGTCTAATGTGAGTTGACAGCTCTTGGGTTTACCCAATCATCGTAGACTCCCTCCACCATTCTCATGACACTCTAAGTCGTCTCTTCTGAGACAGCTGAAGACTGTTGCTACAGCGAGACTGTAATTGATTTATTAATAAATGTTTCTGTGAACAAGAAGTAAACACTAATTATCACACTGCACCTACTGCTCTGCATGTATCTTTGATGTGACACCATGATAAAGAATGTGTGACAGTTCAACAGTGGTCCTGTAAACACACAGCTGATAGATATCTACATTGTTCTTGATTCCCTGTTTTACAGTGTACGACTACTAACAAGCATTTTCAGGACTAAGTTACCTTTTTCAAAACTTTTCACATAGTTAGCACAACAATAGGCAGTTGAGACCAAACCAGGAACACAAACAATACATTCAGTGACCACAATTACCACCATAATTCACAGCTTTTAACAAGACTGTGTATTTGTGGAGCTCAATATGCAAATGCCTGCATGCACTGTTACAAAACTGTTACACTTATCTCCAAAACGGAACATTGAAATAAACTGCATATCTTTTGGTAGCACTTTATTTTACGGTATGGTAAGTAACTTGTATTTAATAGGTAAATATGTGATACTTACTAGTAATTTTCTGGTACATACTTTGTTTGTACATAGTAATTTACATAAAAAGAACTACCGGGTATGTATAGCTGCACTCGCTCAAATTTAACAGGTAAATATAAAAGTACTTACAAGTAATTTTGTGGTACATAATTTGAAAGTTGATACATATAAAAGTACAAAGTAACAAAACTGAGAAATACAAGGTACACTATATGGACAAAAGTATTGGGACACCTGACATTACAACTACAGGAACTTTTATGACATTAGGCTTTAATATGGAGTTGGTCCAACTTTGCAGCAGCTATAACAGCTTCTACTCAGATAATGTTTCCACTGCTCCAGAGTCCAGTGGTAGTGTGCTTTACACAGCATCTATATAGTAGTGCAAAATATGGATGAATAAGGCAAAAACAACACATGGTTAAAGCAATGGAACTTTATTCCACTAAAGCAAAGAACTACAATACACAACTAACTGGATTTCAGGTTTCAGGTTTGACCCCCGAATAACAAACAACATAATACAGATACAGATACATAATACAAATACAGAATTAACCACTTTACTTTTGTTAACACTTCACTCGCAGTAACTTCATTTTATATTTAAATTACTACCAATAATAATAATAAAAATAATAACAAAAAGAACAACAACAACAACAATAATAATAATAATAATAATAATAATAACAATAATAATAATAATAATAATGTAGGTATTTTTAAATCTAAAAAATCAGCAAATGGCCTTTTCTTAGTATGGCAGTGTAGATTCACAGACCCAGCCTGCCTGATTAGAACAGGATGCATCGTTCCATGTCTGCAGCAGGCTAGTAGCGGAAAAAGAATCTGCACAATCTTCCTCTCCGTTACTGTTGGGTTCACCACTTTTCCAAAACCTGTAATTAGCACAAAGCACACATTCTAAAAATTTAAATACAGGCTATTATGTTTTGAACTGCCATGCTAAACTAGCCCATCACTGATTCTAATAATGAGATCACATGACTTTTTTTCCTTTAATATGTGACCAGACTTAAACAAAATGCTATTTTACTCACGCAGTGGTCAGTGGTGACCCGTCCACCCACTTCCAAACTCCCTCTCTTTCTGTGTCACTCAGACCAATCCATACATATTTGTTTTGCTTCTTAATGAACTCCTAAAGGAGAACAGAGTGTGATTAGTATAAGGGAGATTTCTATCAGAGTTCAGTTCTTCTCTCTCTCTCCTCACCTGTTCCTCTCTGCTGTTTATGATCACCAGATCTACTCCTCTCTTTATGCAGTCCTTCCTGGCCTCAATCCAGCTCTTCTGCTCAGTAGAGATGTAGTAAAAGCTGCTTCCAAATTTCTTCCAACCAAGCTTGTCTAGAAAAGAAATCACATGCAGTCAGCTCCATAATTGTTGGGCACACTTGATAAAGTTTAGCCAGAACGACAAGAATGACAATGGATGATTTTGCAGTTGATGAGAGTTGCATGCTCCAAAGCCAGCATTTTTTTGTTTCATTGTGAGTAGTATAACAAAATATCTCTGCGCCTCTCCGACTGCCTCCACCATACCCCTACCTCATTCACCCACTAGGGCATCACACTGGTGCCAAAAAGTGGTGCTGCAGTACCAGTGCACTGGAGAGTCCTGACCAGTGCACTTTTATGCCACGCATGTTAAGCGAGCTGAGGTGGGGGTATGTGGCGGCGGGGGCATGGTCAAGTGCTGTCTGTGAGGCGGACAGCTGATTTGAATGAGGGATTGGTGAAGGCATGCAACTGTGAATAATCGTCTCTCTCCCAACTAATATGACTTTCCATTTTCACATAGTTCTGTTAAACATGCCTTTCTTACTATTTTTTGTGTTTTTACACTAAACTAACTTCAACTGCAGGTGAGACTTTCTCATGTTCAGTGAGATTGAGAATTAACCACAAAAGCATGTTTTCATTGCCTATTTTAAGCATCTTTACCAATGACTGTATTAGCATTGTAAAGGAGATGTTTGTAGTATGTGGCTCTAATGCATTCAGACTTTTAAAAGCAAGCTCTTCAATCTCATTTATGGTGTAATACAAAGTGTAATGTCATTTCTCACCAGTCAGAAGCTGAGAACAATGCCTTAACTGGTTCCTTTCTTCAGTCAGAGCTTTGTTTATCTGGTCTTTCTCCTTAATCAGATTCTGGTATCTGCTCCTGAGCTGGTCTCTTTCTTCAGTCAGAGCTCTGTTTTTCTGGTCTTTCTCCTTAATCAGATTCTGGTATCTGCTCCTGAGCTGCTCTCTTTCTTCAGTCAGAGCTCTGTTTATCTGGTCTTTCTCCTTAATCAGATTCTGGTATCTGCTCCTGAGCTGGTCTCTTTCTTCAGTCAGAGCTTTGTCTATCTGGTCTTTCTCCTTAATCAGATTCTGGTATCTGCTCCAGAGCTGGTCTCTTTCTTCAGTCAAAGTTTTGTTTATCTGGTCTTTCTCCTCAGTCAGATTCTGGTATCTGCTCCTGAGCTGGTCTCTTTCTTTAGTCAAAGTTTTGTTTATCTGGTCTTTCTCCTCAGTCAGATTCTGGTATCTGCTCCTGAGCTGGTCTCTTTCTTTAGTCAAAGTTTTGTTTATCTGGTCTTTCTCCTCAGTCAGATTCTGGTAGCTGCTCTTCAGTTGGTCTTTTTCTTCAGTCAGGTTTCTGATACTGGATAAGAGGGTCTCTCTCTCTGCAGTGAAGTTTGCTCTCAAAGAAAAGATGGTTTGGGCCAGACTGTTTTTCTCCTCTTTCACATTAATATCTGCATTCAGAAAACATGATGTTTCTTAACTGTTCTTTCACATCAACAGATTGCAGAAGATTTTTCACCGTAACATTTTCTTTTCACACATATGTAGTCTACATATTGCCAGAATGAACTGACCAGGGCATAGTCAGTCTTGGGAAAAAACAGCCTACTGTTTCTTGCATTGGTCAGCCTTTGATGCTACTATTACATGATTGACCACAACAATTAGGTGAGCAACTTTGTGAGTAGAAAAGGCCTCTTGCATGCCACTTGCCTCCATGTGTTTATGGGATGCCGTTCCTTGCAAAGTGTTCTTTCAGAAATTGGTTGTGAAGGTCCTGTGTCAACTTCTAGAAATCTTTGCCTATTTTTATTCTCAAGCCATGAAACACGCCAGTAAGTCCTTTTTGGCAATCATTAACATCTGCTTTTGCGAAACATTTTCCACACATCAAACAAGACTTTCCCTGCACTGTACCACCTCTTCTCAATCTATGAACCCTGTCGCACACCCCGCAGCTTATACAAACACACACATTATATATATATATATATTGATTCCCGGCCGGGCGACCAGGGTCCTTTTTGTGTGGAGTTTGCCTGTTCTCCCTGTGTCTGCGTGGGTTTCCTCCAGGTTCTCCGGTTTCCTCCCACAGTCCAAAGACATGCAGTCAGGCCGATTGGACACGCTGAATTGCCCCTAGGTGTGAATGTGTATGTCTGTCTGTCTGCCCTGTGATGGACCGGCGACCTGTCTGGGGTGTATCCTGCCTTCCGCCCACTGACAGCTGGGATAGGCTCCAGCATCCCACCGCGACCCAGAAGGATAAGCGGTTTAGATGATGTGTGTGTGTGTGTGTGTGTGTGTGTGTGTACATATATATATTTCAAATACAATTGTTTTAGATGCTTAAGTAAACCTGCTTTTTAAGGATTAACAGTGGCTATTTTGAGATGTTCCTTCATTTCATAAGAACCACCATTAACAACCAAAGTAAATGTAAAATATTTTTATTGTGCAAAACAGTGCTTTCTAATGCTATTTGTTATAGTGCCTGAATATAACTGCTGCACCATTTAAGGTGGAATGGGAAAGCCTAATAAGAAAACTACTTCAGCAGCATCAAGTTTCTCAAGTCATTTGTCTCATACATGCATTCCATATACTCACGCCTCAGACCGTCAGACACCTCTGGAATTTTGAAAATATTACAGTCACTCACTCTTCAGTACCAGCTAGTCCACGGCTTGTTTCTCAGTAGTTTTGAGAAAAAAACTTTCTATATTCTAGGAAAGCAAAAGTGACTACAGTTTTCTTTTCTGTTTTTCTCCACAACCCCTGCTGTCTGTATTTAACCTATGACTTAAATAAGGCCTGTTCTGCTTGACTGTGTCCATAAGTAATATAACTTCACTAGAGAAACTGAATCCAGTGATTTGTTACTGCATAGCTATGTTAGCTGGCATACAGTATTAATAATTATTTCATCAAAGTACCAAAAGCCCCCAAAATGATATGGCTTTTGTCTGTAGAAATATGTGCAGAAATACTCACAGTACATGTAGAGCACTACGTTGGTGGTCATCAGGAGAACACACAGCAGTCCCATACACACCACAGCCAGTCTGGATCTTCTGTTTGTTGCTTTAACAACTGATGAAGAGTGGACTGACTTAAAAAAATTGCTTTGCATTTACTTTTTCATGTATTTTTTTAATTTTTGATCTCAGTTCTCATCAGAACTGTCAGCAACTGTGACTCGAGTCAAGTAATGAGTTGGACCTGCCCTTAAATGACTTGGGACTAGGACTTCAGGCTTAAGACTTGTGACATCCCTGCTGAAAAAAACAGCACGTCCAAAAACAGCATGCATTCCATGTTGGTTTATGCTGGTCTGTTGCTGGTTTGGCTGGTCACCCATCATGGTCATGCTGGTTGACTAGCATACCAGTATCCAAAACACAACATATGCTGTTTTTTCTAGCAGTGATTTCAGCCAAAGGAAAAAGCATGTACAGTCTGATTAAATTAGGACTCACAGCCTTGCACTAAATTACTAAACGTCTTTAGTTTTCAATCTTACATGTGTTTCTTACAGTTTTGCTGTTATTGTCACTACTGTAACACTGTAATGCTTGTAGTGGCATCAGGTTTGATTCGGCTTCAGATAGCAAGTCTTCCTTTACAGAAAAAGCTTAGCCTGATGGACAGAATAAAGCTTTACATGCAGTAAAAGAAAGGACAAAACAACTTGAAACTGTTGGCTAGCACTTTTGGAAAGCATGTACGCTAACATTAACTAGCACACTAGCTACTATAGCTGAAGTTGTCCACGAATGTAGCTAAAGTTTTAGTAATTTCAGTTTATTTTCCTTTGAAACTCTAACTGTTGTGCTAACTAGCGTATGTGCTATAGAAACTACAGACTAAGCAAACGTTTCAAATTGTTTTATTTCTTATCTGTATGTGCTGTGTTTACCGTGTGTTGTGCTTCAGTTCCTTCAAACTGAAGGTTTCTCTGTAATGAAAAGTTCATTATTTGAAGCCATGTTGAACCTGACCAGCTTTTACACTGGTGAAATAAAAGCTTAAACCAGCATGAATTCCACTCTGGGTTATGCTGTTTTGGTGTTGGTTTAGCTGGTCACCGCTTTAGCTGGGCATCGCTAGCCATTTTTAGGGGGGTTTAAGCCCCCTCCACATATTACTTAGCTTCCTCAAATCAATGTACACTATAGTTCAAATCATCAATAGTATTTTGCATTCATTCTTCTTTATTCAGCTGTGCTGGTGTGAAACAATCTCACCAGTATTAGTTATATTTAGTTTTTACTATATATAGATAATACTGGTGTTATGTTGATCATAGTGCAGTGCAAAAGGTGGCAGCTCCAAAGAAGGCCACTCAGCGAGAAGATTTTTGCCATTTTAAACAAAAACTGAACTGACTGATTCTTGAACTTTTGTAAATCTCAGTTTAATAATAATAAAAACATATATATGTTACCAAATTCAGGCAAGGAAAGGGAGAGAAAGAAGCTGAATTATTCCATTAACATGTCCTCATTTGTGGGACTAAATAATAAACCTAAAAAATAAATAAGATAATATATTTTTTGTGCTGTCAAATGTCACAATGACCATACCACCTGGTCTATTAAACATGTACGTGCAACTACAGAGCAAATTCACACTCTAACTGGTTGCACAAACTGAGACTGTGCCTAACTATAATATATATATATATATATATATATATATATATATATATATATATATTATAAATAACACATTTAGGACCTGCAGCTTATTTAAGAAAGGATATGTCATTGCTTTTGATCTGTGATCTGTGTAGGTGGACAGATATAGTATTTAAGCTGTGAAAGATCTGTGCTTAATGCACTATGAAGAAACAGATCTTTTATGAACCTCAGACTCACATGCCAGAGAATCAAGACACGAGTTCTGACCCGCTTGACTCACCTTGTGAACATCTCTGGTTCTCATCATGAGAACAACATGCAAAAATGGGTAATGAAAGTTGCTAAACTACCTGTCTGCTGCATCCTCTTTGTTCTGGTATCCTGATTCTCCTCTCTGTCTATCCCACTCAGCTCAGTGCTGCTCACATTTGCATAGATTCTCTCTTCCATCCCGTCTTTGTTTCCTTCTTATTCAGCTTATAACTGAAACTCCTTCTCTTAACAAACTGCAACTTTCATGGCATGTAATTTTAACTGAAACGGAAGGGAAGTGGCTGAATTGGCAGTGAAGTCCCAGAAGAGAAACCACTAACTTGACCGCTGAGGTGTTAAACACGCCTAAGGCATGACGCAGGCCTGATACACAGTTCATATAACTTCTGTACAGATATAAGTTTACATACCCCTAAATTAGTGAGATATTTACTGTTCTCTTAAAATTTTATATGAGTGATCATTTAAAACAAAGTTAGTAATTATAGTTTGATGAAGATATTAATCACAGAAACTTGCACATATTAACCACAATAATAAATGAACCATCACATTAACATCTGCATTAGAAAACATGATGGTTTTCTAGATAGAACTGTTCTGCGTATGTATTCTGTAGCATTGTAGTCAAAATCACTAGCGCTGAGCCTGAGTCAAGACCAAGACCTGAACACAACAAGACTTTGTAATAGTGTCAAACTCACCTGAATACTAATCATGCTGACACCTGTTTCCTATTACATTTGACCCAAGTTTGGTGCGAAGTCTTGTTAAGGTTTATCCTAGTGATTCTGAGCAGTGATCTTCTTCTGTTATGACAACTTGCTAAAATATTACGTTATTGATTTCTGGACTGTGTTCTTGGACAGTTTGCCCTGCTCTGTGTGAAGCTCTGACAGTTTTGACCCTGCTTGTCTCTGTTTATGATTCTTTAAATTCCCCAATAAGCCTGCGCTTGATTTCCACTACTCTCTGGGAGGTACATCATTATAAATAGTCAAGTCAGAATATAAAAATAAAAAGAAGAAAGGTTAGTTGTTCATTTCTAATCACTCATTATACATGATGTATTTTGTAAAACAAAATATTAAGTAATACATAGCCTAAAAATATCATTTTAGGTTTAGTTCAGGGCAATGGGATGGCCATATCGAAAGCTAGATTTGGATGTATGTTTTGGATCATTGTGCTGCTGGAAGATCTGACATCAACCCAAAATCTACTGCTTATGTTTGTGGTTAGATGAGATCTGCTGGCATGGAGGCGGCATCTATTTGTAGTTTTGCTGACTTGGTAACCTCACAATGCTATACCGTGCTATACAAACCTCCAACCTTAATCCCTTTTTTGTCTCTCGAACCATCTACAGATGACACGACACTCATAGCAGAGATCAGAAATAACTTACAGAACACAGTGAAACAATAGGACTTCAGCTCAATAAGAAGAAGGTGAAGGTTATGACAACAGGAAAGACCACTAACTTTACCACTCACGATAAAGATGTAGAGGTTTTTACTTGGATCATTTATCAATAACAAAGGATCCAGCTGTCAAGAAATACGACTCAGACTGACGCTCAGCAGAGCAAGGATGAAGGAGCTTGAAAGGATCTTCAAATCTAATAATTTGTCCCTACAAGGAAAGGTCAGAATTGTCCAGACTTTGGTGTTTTCTGAAGTTCTTTTTGGATGTGAAAGCTGGAGAATAAAACATGAGCTTTGGATTTTGGTGTTGGTGAAAGCTTTTGATGGCAAATAAAAAATAAATGCTTCATTGACCAAATCAAGCCTCACCTCTTGCTTGAAGCCCAGATAACCAAGCTGAAGCTCTCCTATGCTGCTTTGAACAGCTGAAGGTAAAAGATGAAGAGGATGATAAGCACCAAGATGGATGGATACAATCAGAGACATCAGACTACTTTTCATGTGGTGTTTTCTGCTGGGCTAAATTAGTAAGATATTTGATGTGATGGTTCATTTATTGTTGTGGTTAATATGTGCAAGTTTCTGTGATTAATATCTTCATCAAACTATAATTACTAACTTTGTTTTGAATGATCACTCATATAAAATTTTAAGAAAACAGTATATATCTCACTAATTTAGCCCAGGGGTATGTAAACTTATATCTGTACAGAAGCTATATGAACTGTGTATCAGGCCTGCGTCGTGCCTTAGGCGTGTTTTACACCCCAGGGGTCAAGTTAGTGGTTTCTCTTCTGGGACTTCACTGCCAATTCAGCCACTTCCCTTCCGTTTCAGTTAAAGTTACATGCCATGAAAGTTGCAGTTTGTTAAGAGAAGGAGGTTCAGTTATAAGTTGAATAAGAAGGAAACTCAGACAGAATAGAAGAGAGAATCTATGCAAATGTGAGCAGCATTGAGCTGAGTGGGATGGATAGAGAGGAGAATCAGGATACCAGAACAAAGAGGATGCAGCAGACAGGTAGTTTAGCAACTTTCATTACCCATTTTTGCATGTTGTTCTCATGATGAGAACCAGAGATGTTCACAAGGTGAGTCAAGCGGGTCAGAACTCGTGTCTTGAAGATATTTATCACAGAAACTTGCACATATTAATCAAAATAATAAATTAACCTTCACATCACAATCTGCATGAGAAAACGTGATGTTTTTCTACATAGAACTTTGTTCTGCATATGTATTCTGTAGCATTGTAGTCAAAATCACTAGCGCCAAGACCTGGACACAACAAGACTTTGTAACAGTGTTACATCTGTTGCCGATTCCCCTCCATGCCAACAGAGGTCAGACTCACCTGCATACTATTCATGCTGACACCTGTCTCCCATTACAAGCCATTGAATGGACTATTTAAGTTGTACGCTGACCTAAGTTTGGTTTTCTGCTGTTCCAAATAAAGAGAGCAAGTTCTGTGTTGATGCTACTCTTTGTGCTCGCTATTGTGGGTACTCCATGCACTTTTAGTTGCCAGAATAACTTTACATGGATATGTTTCATTCACTTTCTGTTCTTTATGTTCTAGAAATTCTTACCAATCACAAAAAAGTTTTTAGATATTACACTCAGTTTCAGTCTCGTGCCGTCCATTTTGATGTGTAAATAATAAATAAGATGGTGTTGTAAGTTTGTGTTTGTTTACCCTCAACAGTTTTCTAGTCTGTGATTGGACCGTTGCTGCAAGCCTATACTTTTTCGAAAAAAAGTCTGTGTGAATGTTTAACTAGTTTTTCCATTTAATAACAGCCATAAATTACAAAATTAATGGAATGAAGTGTGTAGTGCCTTGTCCATACATTCAAGACGTAAAATAAATATCATAAGAATGAATCATATGGAATGGAGCTGGAGCAGAGCGTTTACAGAAATGCTTTGAGTGAGAACTCCCATGCTGTGGTTAAAATCTGACCTGTTACTGTTGCTATACTGGCCCCACCCCTGAATAAGCAGTGACTGACTAGCTAGCGTGATCTGCTTTGCTTGTATCAATGTAAACTGCTGTTGTGCTCTTAACCCTTTAAAATCCCAGACTAATTACATACTAAGGTTTATTAATTATTCCATTACTACAGGGAAGTCAGTACAAACTGGCTGAGCTATTCTTTAAATATAGAAGTGTGTAATAAAACTCCGGGCCTGCTGGTGAGCCCTGGCCATTAAAGGGGTTAATCTGTAAAGCTGCAGTAGTGGAAACTTTATGAGCATTCAGGTTCATCGGTAGGTCATTTTGAGGAGAGACGTAAATGTATGTGAGAAATGTGGCATAGGAGTGTGAGATTAGACCTAACTGCATGAGGTTCACAGCCAATGTGTCTGATTTCACAGCCCTGTGCTGCCTTTACTGCTTGTAGTGTTTCAGTTCTGTTCTTCACATTCAAGTTTTTTTTTCTATTGAAAGGCTTGTTATTTAAAGCCGTGTTGAACCCGATGCTTTCATTAGCAGGTTTACTTTATACAGTGAAATCTCTGCAGCTGATAAAGAGACTAAATTCTAATTCTCTACCAAAGACTGAAGACTCGAGCTGGACTTAAATGCTAGGGACTCAATTCAACATGCAAAAGTGGTTTATGAAAGTGTGCTACACTGCCTGTCTGCTGCATCCTCTTTGTTCTGATATCCTCTCTGTCCATCTCACTCAGATCAATGCACCTCATATGTGAATAGATTCTGTCCTCGATTCTGTTTGGGTTTTTTCTACTTCAACCAACTACTAAACCTCCTCTTAACAAACATCAACTTTCAGGACCTGTAACTGAAACGGAAGTGAAGTGGCTGAATGGATATTAAAGTCCTATTAGAAAAACTATTAACTCCATTTTTTTCTGAAGTGTGAAACACGCCTAAGGCATGAAAGAGGCCTGATATACAGTTCAAATAACTTTTATAAAATGGATAGTTACGGTTCTAAAATCTGACTGACAACAATAAAAAAAAGTCTGAAGAACGTCCCTTGAACAGCTTATACGCTACTCTGTAAAAAGGGCTCGTCAGTTTAACCTAAAAAAAAAAAAATTGACTTTATGTGGTAACAAGTAACTCAGCTAGCTTTATTCAACCTAAATAAACACTTCGAATAAACATTTTTTTTTTAAATCAATGTACTTTTTTGAGTTGCATAAAACTAGTTAAACTGCTTGTTACTATACGAAGCATTTTTTAGGTTGAATTGATTAGCCATTTTTAACAGTGTGGCGTCAAATCCAGGCTCAATTCCAAATGGTTCTGTATTCCTTAAATAGTGTGCCAGCTATGAAAGTTAAAAAATTTCTATAGAAGTATATAAGTTTCTATAGCAAAATAGTGCACTATTTGTTGAGTATGGATGTGGCTGAATCCCAAATGACTATTTTTTATACTTTGCACTGTTGGGTGCAGGATCCAGTATTTAAAGGTTTACATAGTGCACTATGTAGGGAGCAGGGAGCCATTCGAGATTCAGCCTCAGTGTGAGAAGAGCAGCGCCATATAGGACTCGGTGGTAATATGGTGACCAATAAGTACATATAAATCAAAGGTTAAATAAAAATAAAAAAAATTTAAAAAAATAAAAAATAAATAATAATAATAATAATAATAATAATAATAAATAAAACTGCAAAACTGTCTTTTCTTGATATTTTTGGCATTATCTCATAATAGCTCCTAATGCATAAAGGGGAATTACAGCAGTTGTTCAACATTTCTGCATAATAGAGTCACTGAGATGTAGTCATTCAGAGTGGCTGGATGTGAAATTATTCATTAAGGAGAAACTTAAAATAGTGATAAATCTGAAAAAAGAATAATTATTTTCTTTGGAGACTGTTTTGCTATATAACATCATACATGTACCAATCCGTCATGAATAGCTTCTAAAAATACATTTTGGACCAAAATTCTCTCAAAATGATCGTAAAATGTAAAACGATCGTTTCAGGCATCAAGCAGCATATTCATAACCATTTCTTTCTGTTAGCTTGTAACACTGGGGTTGAGCCAGGTTGCATTAGCAGAATAATTTTTTATTTGTTTTTTAATCTTTTTTTTTTTTGATTTTTACCCAATTTAGTAGTTTCCAGTTTCACCCACTAGTTAGGACTCCACCAATCACATGATACTACCAACGCTAGGAGGGTGAAGGCTAACACAGGCTTCCTCCGAGACCTGTGAAGCTCCACCGCATCTTTTCGAACAGCCGCTCACGCAACGTCACTGGACAGCTGAACGCGCTCGGAGGAAAGCGCCAACCGCCAGATCTGTTACGTCAGCTAACAGACGCCTGCACTGACTAGCATGTAGCATCATCAGGGATCAAGCTCGCGATCTCCTGATGATAGGGCCAACGCTTAGACGGTTGAGCCACTCGGGAGCCCATTAGCAGAACAACTTTATTGGGGGCAGTCCAAAAGGCAAGGGGCCAAAGCACAGGCAGGCAACATCAGATGCAGATCCATAATCAAAAATCAGTAAAATAAGGCAAACACAGAAAAAAACAGGCTCAGAACTCTGGTATGAACACACAAACTTTGCAAGGCCCAAAACCAAACAAAAAGGTATATGAAGTGGTCTTAATAAATCCAGGACCAACTGCGGGTGTGAAAGTGTGGTGTGAGTGGGTGAAGCCAGGAAAAAAACTTATTGAGTTAGTTCCACAGTCTCCCCAGAAGGGGGAGACATCATAACAGAGATAACTGTTTATGAAAACCACTTTATTAAACTCTTCAGACATCTGGTTCCCGTCACCACCACTGTGAACTGAGTAACTCAGTAAGTTTCTCTAGAATGAAGCATTTCCCATCAAACCACTCTAAATGACTTTGTTTACATCTTAACCCTTCAAAAAAAAAATTTCAGTTTTTTATTAGTCTTACCTATTCTTAGTCTTAAGATGTTATACAAAATGTTTAACATAATATAAAAGAAGTAAAGATGAGGAGGGGTTCACCACTCTATGAAAAACTGTGTGGGCAAATAGTGCAATAATTCGACAATAACATTTCTCAATGTAAAATAGCAAAGAACTTGGGGATTTCATCATCTACAGCACATAACGTCATTAAAAGATTCGGAGAATTTAGAGAAATCTCTGTATGCAAGAGACAAGCCCAAAAACTTATACTGGCTAGCTGTGATCTTCAGTCCCTCAGACAGCACTGCATTAAAAACAAACATAATTCTGTAGAGGAAATCACTCCATGAGCTCAAGTTACACTTCCAACCCACTGTCTGGTTTGGATCATCCAGCTTGTTATCAGTACACAGTTTAAAAGCCAGCATCCGTGATGATATTATTGCATGGGTGACGTGCACATCTGTGAAGGCACCATTAATGCAGAACGATATATACAGGTTTGGAGCAACATATGCTGCCCTCCAGACAACGTCTTTTTCAGAGAAGGTCTTGATTATTTCAGCGAGACAATGTCAAAACACTGCCTAACACTAGTATCCGGGTGCTAAACTGGCGTGCCCGTCCACTCCTGTCACCCACTGATAACATTTGTGGTAATATGAAATGAAAAATGACAAAGGAGACCCCAAACTGCTGAGCAGCTGAAATTCTATATCGAGAATGAGAAAACATTTCACTTTCAAAACTACAGCAGTTGATCTTCTCAGTTCACAAACGTTTACAGAGTGATGTTAAAAGAAGAGATGAAGCAACACAGTTGTAAATATGCCCCCAGCCTATTTTTTTAGAAATGTGTTACTGGCATCAAATTCAAAATGCTTGTTTCAGCAGTTCAACCAGTTTCAACATTTGACATGTTACTATTTCCAATTAAATAGGGGTTAAGTGATTTGCATATAGTTGCATTCTGTTTTTATTCACATTTTGCACAGCATCCCAACTTTTTTGGCAATGGGGTTGTACATTACTACATTATGAACTATCAAATGAGTTACATGATTGCTCTGATCCCCAAGCAGGGGTGGAAAGTTTATAATTAAGTATGAACACTGTTACTGTGATGATTTACTGGAGTACAAGTAAAAATATTCATACCAACTAAGAGAAAATAAGTAGTTTATTGAAAAACTGCAATTACTTGGAGTTATTATTGTATCTGTACAGACAAAATTAAAGCAAAACATATATATTACATTAGGGAAAAAATGAGTTGATGACAGTATGCTCTGCTAGTGCACTGTATAAAGGCACAAGGCACATTTAACTATACACATTTCGTGGACAGATGATTATATAATGCTTCCTAATTTGTGTTTCAAACAAAGTAGTTTGAAAGGGTATGCATTGTGTGTTACTTTGAACTGAGTTCTGAAATGAAGTCCTTTTTTTATTCTAGATACACTTAATATACTTTAATTTGTTTGGAATACACTTTAAACTTTTCTTCCAATAGGATTTGCCAGCACTAAAGTAATAAAGGTGGTAAACTCTCATGAGAGACCCACAAATGGCTTTAACTACTGAAGCCTTTAGGTGGCAGTGTAGATTCACAGATCCAGCCTGATTCAATAGAGCAGGGTGCATCATTCCATGTCTGCAGAGTAGGACTACTGGGGTGGAAGAGGGAACAGTCTTCCCCTCCTTGAGCTTCATTGGGTTCACCATCTCTCCAGAATCTGGAATTAACACACAGCATGCAGCACTCAGATTTAAATACCTGATCTTTTTTTTTTTAAATACAAGCTGAACATAATTACTCTGACTTGTCTCTGATCTGTTAACATAACTTGCATATCTTTGCAAAACATAATAAATGTGGGTTTCACTGCCTACAAATGTCTGCTACGTTAATGTAATGAGTCTTATCAATTTCTTTGAATTTGTTATGAGGTTATTAAAACTCACGCAGCTGTTAGTGGTGACCCGTCCACCCACTTCCATTGTCCCTCTGTTTGTGCATCAGTTAAACCAATCCAGGCATTTTTGTTTGCCATTTTAATGAACTCCTAGGGAAGAAGATGAGATTAGAATGAGGAGATTTCTATCAGAGTTCAGTTCTTCTCTCTCTCTTCTCACCTGTTCCTCTGTGCTGTTTATGATCACCAGATCTGCTCCTCTCTCTATGCAGTCCTGCCTGGCTGCACTCCAGCTCTTCTCAGTAGAGAAGTAGTAATAGCTGCTTCCAAACCTCCTCCAACCTTTTAAATGGAGCTTCTCTATTGCAAAATAAAGTACAATCATGCTTTATAAATTAGAAGAAAAAGGTACAGAACTGTCACTGGAGCAGTACCCCTCTTGTAATTGGGGTGGGACCCTCAAGGGTACATCTCAGTACCTTTAGTCAGGGAACATAAATGTACCATAACCTATTGAAATTATATTTTCTATGTTGGCTATCTGTTTTGAAACATTAGATTATGAAAAGGTACAAATATGTACTTCTCACCTGGAAAAAGTTATTCAAGGTGCACAATTGGACCTTAAAACCACTGTTTGAGGGGACATTTACATTGTTTGTACCTTGATGAACGAAAAGTGTAGGAACCTTTATCTCTGACAGTGTATAAAGTTTTTGTGCTTTGGAAAGATGTACTGAGTGCTTGTACTGGCAGCTGTTTCACTCACCCAGCTGTTTCAACAAATCATCATATTTGGTCTGCATTGTGAGGATTTCCTTAGTCAAGGTTTTGTTTAGTTGGTCTTTTTCTTCAGTCAGTTTTCGGATACTGGATAAGAGAGTTTCTCTCTCTACATTCTCATCCTTCACATTCACATCTGCATTAAGAAAACAATGCATTTCTATATTCTGTATTTGTAGTCAAAATCACTAGTGTTGAGTCCAAGTCAAGACCCAGACCTGGACACAAGGAGATCAAGTCAAGACCAACTTTATAGTAGTCAAGTCAGAATATAAAAATAAAAAGAAGAAAGGTTCATTGTACATTCATTATCATTTGTTATATTAATACATGATGTTATATTTTGTACAACATAACATTAAAAAATATATAGCCTAAAAATACAACCCTAATTCCAAAAAAGGTGGGACAAAATGTATGTAAATGGGTGTAAAATGTAAATAAAAATGGAATGCAGTGATTTGCAAATCTCATAGACCCATATTTTTTTCACAATAGAACATAGAACACATATCAGATATTGAAACTGAGACATTTAACCAATTCATGAAAAACATTAACTAATTTAGAATTTGATTCCAAAAAAGTTTGGATGCTGTGTAAAATGTCTCAGTTTCAACATCTCCAGCCATGCTGTTGTGATACGTGCAGTATGTGGTTTGGCATTGTCTTGCTGAAGTAAGCAAGGCCTTTCCTGATAGAGATGTCTTCTGGATGGCAGCATATGTTGCCCTTAAACCTGCTTATTTCATTTAGCACAGATGTGCAAGTCACCCATCCCATGTGCACTAATGCCCCATATCACAGATGCTGGCTTTTGAACTGTGCGCTGATAACAAGCCAGATGGTCCCTCTTTAGCCCAGAAGATGTGGTGACCATGATTTCGTAATTAGCATCACTCAGGAGCAGCTTTATGATGACCTAATTGTGAAGTCTTTTCAGAATACATTGATTTTTTAGGAATTTAACATTCTGGAACCTTCACATCAAGTCTAATATGTTTTTAACACTGAGACCGTGGGAAGAAAATGCAGAGGAAAAAGAAAAGGATTCATCAGTAATAATGGTAGCCAGTCCAGCTGAAATGCGTAGACACTGAGTATCCATTCTGCTAAAAAGCCACAGACAGCACAATGAAGCTCCACTGACACACAGGAGCTGAAACTCTACTGTTAGTGTGTTGGGTAGAGCTCCGAGCTTTGAGCATTAAAATGACGGAACAAACTACTACAAGAGCAACTAGCTCTATTGAAAAAGGCATCATCATTGTTGATGTCTATGTTTTAAAAACTGCATTTTTTGGTCTCTAAAGCTTTGTTGCCCTTCTTTGACACAAATAGAAGCTGTCCTAAATATACAGAATATGTAACCAAAATTACGTCCCTACTTAGCAATTTCAAATTTGTGTCCCAGCTCTAAATAATAAAATTTTCAAACAGGTTACATCTCAAAGTGCTTCACACAGTGATGAAATGACAATAAAATTAAGGGTGCAGTTGAAAAAAAGAAACAATAGCAATAATAATTTAAAAATAAATGTAAAAAAATAAGGTAGTACATTAATTAATGCTAAATTAAAAGACTAAGCTATTTATTTAAGCATTCACTCAACTTGACTGCCTATTAAAACTACATTTGTGTTGTGTTGAAACATAAACACAGAGACATTCAGTGAGGCATGCTGGTGCTAGACTTTGTAAATTTTAGCTTTTAATAAATTCATAGATGATTTTTCTGCAACTCCCTGGCACAGAACAGGTGAATCATTGACCACCTTCACCAGCGCTGACTCTGTGCTATGATGTTTCCGAATGCCTGTCTAAAAAAATACATGCTTGTTAAGCTTCCTTTAAAAAGATCACAGCTGCTGACAATAGCTATCCAACGGGTCCACCATAGTTAGAGAGATAGGCGGAATCAAGTAAGGACTTCACAGTGGCTGTCTTAGCTTAGCGACATGGCCCAGGCTGAGTGATGTGTATATTATAATTAGTAAAGGCTCCCCAATCACTGCTAACAATTCTAGGAGTAAATTAGTAACCTGACTTGAAATTAAATGAAGAGTGACCCTGACATTTGTACAGTACTGTACTAAGCATGCCTGTGTGTGTGTGTGTGCGTGTGTGTGTGTGTGTGTGTGTGTTTTATATACCTGTCTGCTTCATCCAGGTCTCTCCCTTTGTGCTGACATCCTGAGCTCTAACACCATCTGCAGTTGCATAAATGACCACTGTCAACTCTTCTCTGTCCATCTCACCCAGTTCAAAGCTGCTCTCATCATCACAGATTTCCTCTGCCATTCTCTCTCTGTATCTGTGCATTAGGCCATCATGTCTGACACAGCCGTACCTGATGTACTGAACTTCCTGATTTTACTAATGCTTCTCTAGAGCGTCTCTGGAACCCACAGGCTAGCAGACCTAGGTGTGGTTTTGAGGCACAGAGAACTTGTAACATCTTGCAACATCTATGAGTGAAAGCAACAGAGAGTGTGAGACTCAATCTGGCAACATTTTACATTAAGGGTTACAATTGAGTTGATAATTATATGCTAATATGTAATTAAATACTCATTATTTATATATTAGTTAACTGCTCATGAAGCATTAGTTATTACTTAGTGACTGATTATGTTGTAAGTAATTAGTAATTGAGTACACTGTTAAGTTTGTTATTGATTTATAGCTTATTTACTCATTCTATATGCACTAACTGCTGCTTATTACACTGCTAATGAACTGATAAGTGTGTTTACCCATATAAATAAGTAATGTGAGAACTATCGAGTACTTATGAATTAGTCCTGTTATTGATATGTTAATTAATATACTGACTTGTTACACTGACTGAATTTTTACTTAGGTTTCCATGGCATTGCTCCAAAAATACCTCTTTTGGCACCTTAAAATTTATTTATTATTCATTCTGTTGCTTATAAAGGGGACCTGTCTACATACATCTTTGAATAAGCAGCCTGTGTTTTAGGCCTAACCAGTATGTCCACTTAATGAAGATGAGGGATTGTTTTAATAGAGTATCACATCATCGCATGCCATTTTCAGCTGTTGTATATTTCCTATGCACATTCAGTTTTGGGTAAGCTATCTACTGAGAGGATCAACAAAGTTTCTACTGCTGCTCTCAATCATGAACTTATACAATAATTCATATTTAGCAGTGACTTTAACTGGCGGGACACAAAGCATAGGTAGGTAATTAGAAATTATTCGTTTCTAAGTACTTAATCAATGACTAAGTATTACCTAATGACATAATTGACCTTGAATTTGTGACCTTTAACGTAAAGTAAAATCTCAAATACTTGTTCATACCTCTAGAACTCTAGACTCTAGTCTGACATGGTCATAAGTGATCTCGTAGCGAAAATACACATCTGGGGACAACTTGATAAACTTTTGGTGCTGGAGTGTGGGAAAATCTGCCCCAAACAAGAGTATACTTTTTTAAAACCTGCCCTTAAAATTCCTGAAGTCCGTGCTCTTTGACATCCAGAGTAATTAATAACGCAAGCAAACTAATCGAGCTAGCAAAACACTATCATTAGCTAGCAGAACTGTTACAAAATTGTTTATTTTTACCAGATGTAATGTGTTCTCTGCACATGTGATACACATCTACATGCTTACCTGGAGTTTTTTGGAGGACTTTTAGAAAAGCTAACTTACACTCATTCATGGGCCTATGGCAGGCTTGCCTGGCATTACCCCTTAACCATGGTGTATGGGGTTGGTGTAGCACGGATAACACTGCTGCCCTCCATGTGATAGACTAGGGTTCAACTCCCTACCTGGGCAAGGACTCTTAAAATTCTAAGTTACAATGGATGTGAGCATTTGCCAAATGCTGTAAATGTAAAATTTCATTACACATGGCCTCCCATGGCTTTACAAGGCCAGTGCTGCCATCTTGTCACAAGACATTCAAGCCCATGAGCAGCCATTCTTCAACTAGTTTGTTTTGCCCCCTGAGAAAAAAAAAAGATTGTGACTGTGAATGTATGGTAAGCCTCAATGTTCTTTAACCACAAGGCCAAACGTAAAGCGTACTGGAGCTATTTTGTTCCCATGATGTATTAATCAGCTGTACTATAGATAGGTCTGAGCTTGTTTTCATGTGTTCACATATAATCACCACCTGCATAGTCTGAGACCACTTGAAACGCTGAAAAGGCCAAGTGTGAAAACACCCTAAAGCTAAAGCTTACACAGAACAGAGGACTCTGTTTAGGACTCTACAGTTGTGTGAGAAAACCCTACAGAAAAAGGGTGATAGTGAAATAAGTGTGAAAGACATTGGTTTTGACTTCCTCATATCACTGTGTGTCAAAATATGTGATGACAAATGTTTCTCTTTGGTGTTCTCATACAAAGAGAAGGTAAAAGAAATGGTGGCGCTTTCTTTTGCAGCCCCCTGATTTCTTGTAACCAGGTAAATGTGAGGTACAAACTCCAAAGTATTTGATAATTATTTTGGGTAACATGATGGTAAGTTCCAAGATTAAATAAATTACACTGAAATGCCCAACAGGTTCTAGATATTAACTTGGTACGTCTGTGGTACACATTCCACAGGACTGCGCAATTGTTTTAGGTAAAAAGTACTGGTTATAGCACACAAAGTAGAAAGAGTTTTACACAGTATGCACCTGTTTATTACCTATAAAAGTAACTGAAAGCTGTAAAACTAAAGTAAAAATCATTATACACAGTTATAATTGTACACAATTACTGTCTACTTGTTAAACAGATGAGCTACCGTCTCTGACTTTACATCTACAAGTTGGACCAACAAGGTGTGTCAAATAGAGTGGACAGTGAGTGGACACAGCGTTTAAAAACTCCAGCAGCACTGCTGTGTCTGATCCACTTGTACCAGCACAATCACACTAACATGCCATCACCACGTCAGTGTTACTGCAGTGCTGAGAATGATCCACCTCCCAAATAGTACCTGCTTTGTGGGGGTCCTGATCATTGAAGAACAGGGTGAAAGGGGGCTAACAAAGTATGCAGAGAAACAGATGGACTACAGTCTGTAATTGTAAGGCTGATCAGTGTATGTTAGAACGATCATAACTGGCTAGTTGAGAAGTGCCCCCTTGTGGTAAAGGCCCTGATCTGCAGACAGTTTAATACCAACCTTGATGTGTATTTTTTCCCTTGCTTTCAGTCATCTTCTATAATAGTCCTGTCTTAAGGAGAGTACAGTCGAGTTTCTGTATGTGTGGTATTGTGAGTAACTGTGCACATATGACATATTCACCTTCCGCAGACATACTAACCCTTGCAAAAGTGTGGGGTGAGTTTACATACAAAGACTGGTCTCACTTCTCAGATCACTTTTATAACAGAAGACAGTGCTGTTATCTTCACAATATATGGTGCACAAAGTGGTAAAACCAAGGGTAGCAGTGATGCATGTTACTGCAAAACAATGTTCTCTTGTGTGATTTTCTCTCATTTTTTAAGCTTACAATGAAGCTGATAAAGACAGTTTATCACATTTTACCCAGAGGACACAGTAAAACCATCTAACTTCAGTATTACTTTTCATTTGTAGTCAGCAACATAGAACACATTAGATCCACATATATATGTAGGAGCAGAGAAGAAGAAGGAGATGGATTGAAAAAGGAGAATAAGGATATAAAGAAATTGTAAATAAAGCATTTATTCAGCAGTTTAATGCATCTTTTCACATATCCAAGAAAGGACTTTGCTGCATGGAACATCGTTCCAGCTGGATAGTGTGTCACTGGAGCCAACACGATGAACTACCTCAGCGCAGTTCTCACCTTGATAGTGAGCGTTATTCGGCTCACCAGGCAACCAATACCTAAGAAACCACAAACAGGTAAAAACAAACATGGACACCAAAGTGACCTATAGAACATATTGGTAGGATTATGGCCTACTTTTTATTTAATGGACTGTTTAACCTGATAGAAAATACTGTCTTTATTAGCTAGAAAAAGCTCTAACTGTTCCATACCCAGTTCCTGGCGACGTGCCATCCACCCATTTCCAGTGCCCCTCTATGGCCTGGTCAGTCAGACCAATCCACAAAGTCTTTCCAAGTCCAGAAACAAATATCTGATGATAAAACAAGAATTGCCTTAAATTGCCTTCAAGTGCCTCACCTAGTGCCACTCCTAGCGTTCCTGATATCCTAAGCAAAACCCCCACAATCACCGAAACCACAGGTTCCCAATCCTGTGTAAATAGCTCTGTATTTCATATGCTGTGCATTAGTTGGAGTGTAGAATCGTAATTTATGACCTACGTAGTGCACTACATAAGGACTACAGAGCCATTTCAGATTCACCCAATGTTAGACAGTTGATTCTATTGTGAACTAAACATTTCATCACTCACTTAGACTGTAATTAGATGATGGTGACTTATATGAGCAATACAACATGTATCTGCATCTTGTCTTAATTCACAGTCTGCACCCCTTTTGTCGTGTGTCGTGCCCCCTGAGGAATAGTAGTACTTGAGCTATCCATGTCTGTCGCAGCTACTACGTCCGCATGCGTAACAGAAAAGTAACGCTGTTGCACTTGTATTTAATTTTTGCTACCCTTGATGTAAACTGTCACGCTTTGACATAAACAACACATATTGTTTAGGCCTCTTTATACATTTATAACATTATTTAATTTATTTAAAAAAAAAATATATGAAAATAAATGCCACCGTGCTCGCCATGGTGGCCCCCTCAGCAGGTATGGGGCTCTATGCAACTTGTGTGGTTTGCATATAGGCAGAATTGGCACTGGACTCATTGGTAACATCAGTAAGTGGAGATCTTTCCTTTACACTCTCACCTGTTCCTCTCTGCTGTTGATGATCACCAGGTCTGCTCCTTTCATTCTGCAGTCTTGCCTGCTTTGATCCCAGGTTCGCTCATAGAAGGAAACGTAGTAACAGCTGGACATGAACTTTGTCCATCCAGCTGGACAAGCTATAAAAAGAATACCATTTGCTGTCATGATCAACTTCTACTGTTCCGAGCTCACATTTGTAATGTTAAAGACTGTTTTTCTAGTAAATGGTCTATTATCAGTTCTAACTCACCCTTCTCTGTGAGCTGCCTCTGAAGTGCATCTCTTTCCTTGGACAGGACTTCATAGCTGGTCTGTAGCTTGCTTCTCTCTATAGCCAGCCTGTTGTTAGTGTCCAATAACTGGTCTCTCTCCTTTGATATACTGTCAAATCTGTTCTGTAACTGGTCTCTCTGTTTAGATAAGTCATTATAAGTGCTCCATAACTGGTCTTTCTTTTTAGTTATATTGACATAACTGTTCTGTAACTGGTCTCTCTCCATAGTCATGTTGGCATAACTGTTTCTCAACTGCTCTTTCTCTGCATTATGTTTTGTACTCAGACCCATAATAACAGCCAGCAGGAGGACACACAGCAGCCCCAGACACACTGCAGCTGGCCTACCAGAGTGCACCTGCCTCCCCTCAGAAACAGCCTGAGAACCTGGAAGAGTTAAAATAGCAACTTACCATTGCTTTTTCAGTGATATTTGACTAATATTTAAGCTCTAATGGAGAACTGGTATCAATGACTTCAAAGTGGATGCATAACTGTAAGTACTACCTCTTTCTCTTCTCAACTTCCCTATACACTTTACCATAAAATGAAAGCTGTTGTTATTAGATGTTCTCTTTTAGCTGAACCCCTAAAATCAGCATCTCATGAAAAACGAAACGTTACATTGCTTAAGACTTCATTACTTTACTTAAGACTATGCCTTTCGTCTGTTGTTTGAAAGCCTGTTCTCTTACATCTGTCTCCTCAGATTACATTATAAACGTTATCTGAAATTAGTCATTGAAGCTTTTACTACTATAATGGTCTCTTAATTGCACTTCCCAAAAAGTCCGTTAAACAGATGCAGCTTATTTAGCATGCTGCTGCTAGAGCAGGGGTGCCCAATCCTGGTCCTGGAAATCTACCACCCTGCAGAGTTTAGCTCCAACTCTAATCTAACACACCTGATACAGGTAATCAAGGCCTTCAGGGACATGTGACTCTATGAGCCAGGTGTGTTGGATCTGAGGATTGAGCACCCCTGTGCTAGAGTTTTAACCCGGACCAGGAGAACAGAGCGCATTAGTCCAGTTCTAAAATCTTTACTCTGGCTTACAGTTAGTTACAGAGTAGATTTTACTTTCTATAAGTCACTAAATGGAGCGGCTCTGATATGCTGTTATGTTGCATACAACTGTAACAAAAATTTTATATGATTTATGTGTGAAATATTGCTGTATTAGTAAATATGCATTGCCTTTTTTGCTCAGTTCAGTTACGTTTTCAAAAATGACTTGTTGTTCAAGTGAACACTGTCATTTTGTGTAATAATCATAATCATAAGTTGATGATTACCTGGTTTCTGTGCTGAAGTGTTCAGGTAGTCACCGTCATTGACTTTAGTCTGACTGGCACTCTTCTCAGTATCTTCGATGTTCATATAGATGCTCTCAGATTCAGCGTCCTCCATGGTGGTGAGAGTTTGAGACAGAATTGAAACTACTACTCATCTGTAAGTCACTTTGTAGTGTCTTATCATGTGATGCTGAGCTTCCTTCTCTGCTTTGAATGAAAAGGAGTGCACAAAACAGAGTCTACAATGTGGGCACATTCATTTAAATAAATCTTCACTGATCAAATTTGCTCCACTTTAATTGTGGTTTAACACTGTGGTTGTGCTGCAGTCAGTAATACAGTAAGTTTCTGCCATAAACATCCAGGCAGTAGAATTCTAGATTAATGTTATAAATCAGTCTCATAAAGTTACGTTCAATTTACAGTTTTTGATAAATAGCCACTCTGTAAAAAATGGCTTATCAGATCAACTTAAAAAATTATTTTATGTAGTAACAAGTGCTTTTATTAAAAAAAAATGCATTCATTGAAAGAATCGTTTATTCAAAGTATTTATTTAGGTTAAAATACATTATATTTACATTACAGGTTGCATAAAACAGTTAATTTATTTGTTACCACATATAGTAATTTTTTTAGGTTGAACTGACGAGCCATTTTTACAGGGCATGTTTTTCACTTGAATAAGAAAGATAATAATATACTTGTGATGTTAAAGTAATCTTAATGATTTTATTTGGTTCGTGGCAGTTTTTTCAGTTTCTGAAGGAAGTAAAACTACAAAGAAATAAAAACTTTACTGACCCACAAAATCAAAACTGTCAGACATCAGTACTTGAGGGTGTGAAAAAGACGTTCTGAGGAAAAGGAAAGAGCTGAGTCGGCTTGTCAGATACGTCATGTGGTAACAAGCAACTGAGCAAGTTCTCAAAAAACTCAAAAAATTACATTGATACGTTGATGCAAGAGTCGTTTCATTCAAAGTATTTATTTAGGTTCAATAAAACTAATTAATTGTTACCAAATGAAGTAAATTTTTAGGTTGATCTGACAAGCCAATTTTTACAGTGTAAAGTGGCTAATGCATGTGTCAGGCTTCAGTTCTCATGGGCCAAATCAGTGCAGGCTTCAGCACACTGCATCATTAAACACACCTGATTCAGCTTATCGGCTAATTAGCAAGGCCTCCATGAACTGAATTCAGAGCGTTAGATGAGGGTGAATGCTAATCTACTCAGCACTTTGGCCCAGAAGGTTCCCAATTGGACATAACTGGGCTAATGAACACCTGGTGCTTGTTGTTAAAGAAATAGGCTAAAGGCTATGTTTTTACTTATCAGGGGGAAAAACTACAGACAAATTCTACTATTTAGTCTTTTTATTTCTGGATCTTTCAGTCTTTTTTGAGTAAATAAACCCAGCCCTGTCTCTCTATCCCCATGCCCCTGACAATGACCAAGCCAGTAAAGCACTACAGATTTAAACCACATGTAACCCCCAAAAATGTTAATAATCTTTTTAGGGTAGCACAAATTAAGTATATCTTTGGACATTGCAAAGGGTTATTTATACATCCCCAGGTGCTTCCCTCATATGGACTAAATCTGTCCTCTCTAGAAAATATATGAAAGCCTATCCAATTTTTTGTGAAAGAGGGACTGATTACCACTGATAAAATATGTAATTTTTTCCAAGGGCAAAGTCATAACTCTTTTGGCCAATGATACACCTATTTCTTAAAAATCTGTTGTCTCCTTCTAAAGTTATGATTACTTGGATATGAACCTAGTATGAAAGGCTTTGGGTCTAGAGGTGTTTGTATAAATAATAATATGTCCTGGATACAGTCTTTCATCATTTCCCAGAACATTTTTGTTTGAGTGCACCTCTGAAGGCAGTGGAAAAGCATACCCTTTTTCTTTTCACACTTAATACATATATCAGATATACCACTATGGTATTTATAAAGCTGTTCTGGGGTTATATACATTTGCATCAGCTAGTTATACTGCAGTAATTTAAGGCATGTGTTAATAGTTTGCCATTGTAATTTGGAACATGCCCTTCAGTGGTAATGTCTTCATGTAGGTCTTCTCTCCATGCCTCTAGCCTCTTTACATATCTCACCTACCAGAAGGTCATACAGCTTGGAGATTATACCCTTCCCCAAACAGTCCATAACCATCACAAGGGGGCATAGATAGTGACTGATTTTGTTGTTTCTCAAGTTTCTCAATCGTAAATATTTAAAGAAATGATTGTGGTATTCGCCCTATTGCTTTGCTATTTCTTCAAATGACATCAGATGTTCACTGTCAGGATTGTATAACTCTCTTATTTTTTGTAGTCTCTTTGCAGCTCAAGTTTCAAATCCCCGATCAGATCTTCCTGGGGGAGAAAATCATTTCCCAGTATTGGACTAAAGAATGAGAGAGAGGCAGTTTCCCCAAGATCCTTTTTAACTTGGCGCCACACACCAATCCTGTTTCTAACCATGGGACTTTTCATGTTCTTTTTTAAGCTTCTTAACATTAGCTGAGTGCAGGTAAATGGGAAGTGGTAGACTCAATATGTGGCCTTCAGTCTCTCTCCATAAGGGGGCATCGTCCTCTGTAAAACAGAACATCCGCATTCTCAACTGTGCTGCCCAATAATACCAGAGCATACTGGGAGCCACTTAGGCCTTCTCTTTCATAGGGTAAGTACAGTAGTGACAGATGTCTGGGGTGTGTGTTGTTCCATAAAAATCTGATGAAAAGTCTCTTTAGTTGAGAGAATAAATTACTCGTAGGCAGCAATGGTACATTTGAAAACAAATACTTTCACTTTTAGAATACTTCTTTTCCCTATTAACAATATTGGTACAGATTTCCATCTATCTTCTGAATATTCTGAAGATATGGTACAATTTGATTGACCAAGTAGATGAAACAATCAACAACTTGAGCAGCTACTTCAGATGGGGGTCTCCTTTTAGATCTCCTCCTCTCCTTAGATTTGTTTATCTTATAGCCTGAGATCTTTCCACATATCTTAATCTGATCAACAGGGCAGGTATAAATGTACCCAGATCTTTGAGATAAATAATGACATCATCCGCATATAAGGCCAGACGGTGCTCCTGCTGTCCTGTGGTTATTCTTGAAATATTATTAAGGGTTCTGCTGCAATAGCTAGTAGTTCAATTGTCATAATAAATAGCAATGGGGGCAGAAAAACTCCTTGTCTACATCCTCCTTTTACCTTAATTTTTGAGATGTACCATTATTAGTACTTCTGCATGGGGTGCGGTATAGAGTGATCTTATCTATTTGCAAAAATTCACTCTTAGGCCAAAACACACAAGAATTTCAAATAGGTAGGGCCATT